TCGAGGAGTATCCCTCGTTACTTTATTCAATCGGTTTTACAGCAAAAGAATACACATCATTTTTGACAATGTTCAATTCTATATATTTTGTGTCTCATGCCTCATTATGGCCCTTTGCCTTGTTTCATACATTCAATTAGTTATTTAAAATGTGTCAAACTTTTACTTCTTAATCATGTTATTATTTGCAGTTTAAGTATTTATACAGATCATTAGAAGCTCAAAAATAAAATGCTAATCTAGTTGCACTTGACCTGTTCAACTATATTAAGGAAACCAAATGTGTATAAGATGGTGGTTGGAGGTCGTTGACAGGAAAACCCTGAAACTAGGTTTCGTGCCATTTGGCTTTCGTCAGCAAGGTGTACCTGTAATCTTGAGGGAACTGATGCTACCTGACGTATTCGACCCACTTGTCACCCAGCTTTACAGTCAGAGACGTTACCACTGGGCTATCCGGGCCGCAACTAACCTCTGTAGGGTTGAAATGTATTTACAAGTGACTGATCACTGGGTGGTGATCAGTGTCATGTGTATTAGGTCCTTCTTAGTGCAGATCGAATCATATCGACCAAGTTGCAATGTGGTCACTAGTCTAAGTGACTAGACATCTCCAAGTAGCACGAAACCTAAGTCCAAAGTTTCCTGTTGACTACCTCCAACCACCATCTAATCTCAACATAGTGCACGGAATGTCGAGTCACCTAGACTATTGACCGTGTCGCTACTGGGTCGATAGGATTCGATTTGCACTTAGAAGGACCTGACACACATGAAATTGGTATTTGGATGACGCATCAATTCGTTGGAAAAAATCGTACGAAAAAACTGGAGTTTATTGGGCGGTTCACCGAAGTATGCTTTCACATTAAGAATGTAAACAAGAAAAGTGATTGGATAAGACACATTTTCTAAGGTCTTTTTACCTCTATTATACAAAAGAAACTTCATAAAATAGTTAGCCATAAGGTTACATCCGTATGTTCTGCTGATATTGATGATGAGGAGCCGAACGGCTTGTGTAATGGTCTCATGAAAAATGGATGCATACGAAAGTTTATAGACAAATATCTAGACACAAAAGTCTGAATATGAGATATCTAACCCGTAAGAAACACTTGTTCATGCTCCTACAATCCAGTGGCGATGAAAGCAGTGAAATTTTAATGCGAAGATCATTCAGAGAACATTCAGTATAGAAGAGCTATGATTAATGTTTACTATACATTTGTCATTGCTGAAGATAGCTTTTAGCAACAGACTCCAAGCCTTAAAAGTTCCATTAGAATGAGAGGAGCTGAGAATCAATGAAAGTACACAGTATTAATTAATAATAATCATAATGGTTAGCAGTTTATAGTCCCTTGTTTCATTCTTTATTGGTCTTATCCAACTGTGACGTGTAGTAGTGATCAGTACATTCAATAACGCGATGCTTTGATACTATTACATCAATCCGTTCAAATGATATGGCAAACTATGAGTGGAGTTGAATAAATAGTTAAGTTAAGAATAGGACGGATATTCACTGATGGTATTGCATAATTCAGACGTCATATGACTAAACGATTATTACTTTATGGTATCGTGATCAACCGAACATGAGTAAGCGTTGGTCTGGTTAGATATAATAAGAGATATTAGATACATATTGCTTATTAGAGCAACAACCATACAATTATTCCTGATCGCAATTTATGAAATATGTTACACTTCATAAAATTCTGAATGAACACACAAAAGTTGAAACCAATTGTTGCATGTGTTAAGAAGTTATAATTACAATGTTAAGTAAACTGAATATTACAAATTTATTAAAATGCTTATGAGCATTACACAACAACAGAAAAGTATGTTAAACTATTTGTTCAAAATGATGAAAAGTGAAATTGGCTACTGAATATTATTGAGTAGACTAATGTTATACACAAAAGATTGTCGAACAGTTGAAAAGGAAGTTAAGATGAGTGAGCACTATAGTATTAGATTTAAGATAGAATCTACCACAATACTAAGTTCTTCATGTAAGACAAGAGTTAATAGTTCTAGCTAGTGCAGATTATTGAATTATTATTGACTCTGATTACTGAAGGACAGTGGATGTCATTCAGTGATTAAAAAGTGCTTCCCAGTGAAAAGAATTGATGAATAAGACATTTTTTCACAGAAACTATTAGTATAGAATATGAATCAATCTACTGATTACTTAATAGGAATAAAATTTTGAAAGTGAGAGTTTCAAAGCTAACATTAGTGAATCTCTTTAAAAGAATATCTCTTTATATGGAGTGACTTTTAACAGTGCTCAACTTGAAGACGAAAATTAAAGTCATCGAAATTTTCATACTTTACATCTTATCTACTAAAGTGTATCTAGGATGGTTTAAATGTATTGAAAGTCATGGCAATCACAAGTTAATAGTGTTAAACTTGATTTCCTTCGGCTTGTCCTTCTGTTCAGTAAATATCTGTAAGAATACAAACTCGGGTTGAGGAATGAATATTATGGTCTCATAGTTGATCCGATATTCTTTTGACTGCATACTAAAACTACCTCTTGAATCAGTGATTTATTTATTTATGACTTCGTGTCGATTAGAACTTCATTCATTCATTCTGAAAGATGCAACTTCTTGTGTGTGTTTTTTTAACGCTCAGAAAGACAATACAATTCAAGATGTTCTTTCTTAATTAATTCTTATGTAATTCCAAGATAATTATCAACTAATTCTATGTAGTGATAAGCAAGCAGGCAAAGTGCTTAACGTATCATACTGAACAAAAGTATCATATCACTAACTTAGTAATGAAGCAGTAACTTTCTGTTAATGCTATTTGGTGAAAAATAAATTCAATATTTAGTCCAAAAGATGTTACAATGGACCTTCAAAAGAACACTTACTGAAAAGATTGACATAAAATCAGCCGACCTACAAAATCATTACTGTTCGTTCAAGCAATGAAACATAGAATTAGTAAATTTGTTACCATTATACTGAACAAGAAGACGAGTGCGGACAATCGGATGTACTGGATATGGAAATTACAGACTATCTCAGTAAAATTTGACAACCATTCAGTAAACAGTTGATTTGCAAACTATTAATCAATTTTCTCAATCTTGACCATTCCTTCTGCAAATATCATTCCATAGTCTCCGATTATTATTGTTCATGCATTTTCATACCAATTGCATTTCGTTTCCGTTCTTTCGTGATCGATTTTCTACTGAAATACATTCTCTACCTGACCATCGTCATATTCTACTTATGGGGACGTAAGCAACCCACACCACACCATTTCCAACCATAGTAAGCACGGTTATAAACAATAAAACTACAATTTTCTTTATCTAAGACTCGCTATCATACACTTATTTTGTTAATACAATGAACATCAGACTAACCGACAGCGTATTTTCAAATTGGATATCTATGTCGAAGTTCGTTACTAATAGGGATGCAGTTTACCTATAACCTGTCACGAGTAACACAGAAACTGTGTGTCAGTTGGTAATCTTCAAGAAATCATCACTTTGATGCAGTGCTCTTTCTACAAATTTATTTCAGTCAGTTCCTTTCCTAGAGATATTAACAAGCACTTGGGTTATGAAAGCTGAAGTTGCAGTACATACATTCTCACTCCACTAATTATTCAATTCAATCAATAACTCAATACTGGATGAAATGCATAGAAACACTTTCAACTCATTTGTAAAACGAGTTAGAGAATTTTTCATAACAAATTTAAAAGTAGAGAAGATTTGTAGTTCAGGTGGATGATTATGATGGAGTTTTGTTCTCTGAGCTGGATGGTTTGGTCGTTGAGCTTTCCTCATGTTTCGGAACGACATCAGTCAGCACCTCTACCCGAAGGTTGTGCTGATGAAAAACGTTGAAATCTCAACGACCAAACCATCCAGCTCAGACAACAAAACTCCACCAAAAGTTCACTAAAAATACCCCAGAAGTCACTTTCTTGGTTATGATTGTCTTGAGCCTATACAATACATTTAACAATAATTTTTTTATGATTTACATTCGAATTACTTCAAGCTGTAGACATTTTTAAATTATTCTGAATAAAAGAAGATAGAATTGACATTCTTCTTCTTACGCATGTTACTCCCAATGGAGCATAAGCCACCGACCAGCATTCTCCAACACACTCTGTCCTGCCCTTTCCTTTCTAGTTCTATCCAGTTTTTGTTCATTCTTCTCATGTCTGTCTCCATTTCTCGGCGTAATGTGTTCTATGGTCTTCCTCTTTTCCTTTGGCTTTCAGGATTCCATGTGAGGGCCAATCTTGTGACGCAGTTCGGTGCTATCCTCATAGTGTGCCTAATCCCGTTCCAGCGCTTCTTCCTGATTTCTTCCTCCGCTAGGTGGAATCTGGTTTGTTGTCTCCCACAGTAATTTGTTGCTGATAGTGTCTGACCAAAGGATCCGAAGTATCCTGCGTAGACAACTGTTAATAAACACCTGTATTTTGCTGGATGATGGCTTTCGTAGTTCTCCACGTTTCCACTTCATACAGTAGAACTGTTTTGACATTTGTATTGAAAAGTCTGATCTCGGTGTTGGTTGACAATTGTTTTGAGCTCCAGATGTTCTTCAGTTGCAAATATGCTGCTCTTGCTATGCCAACGAAAGGGCCTTCCATGGTGGTCTACCTTCAATTGTCTAATAATCTCAACTATATAAAATGACTACAATCTCCACAAAATCCCCTTTCTGATTCTGTTTTTGTATTTGTTGTCTTAATGAGAATATTACTAACATATGAATATATTTACCATAGTATAGTTTAGTAATTAAAACTATTTTACAAACTAAGATTTATTTCTAATGTACTAACCAATATGTTGTATACACGTATAGCACAACAGTCAGTCAGTTTTATTATCGACGAATGGTTTATCAATGTATTTCACTCACAACAACATGATTATGTTTGTTTAATCCAAGTAATCGAATGTTATGAACTTCATGAAGCTCATTTTATACACTCAGAGTTGTATTGAAAATTTCATTTGCCTCCATACTACTTGGAAATAGGTTTCTCAAAAATATGATAACACCAAATATAATTCTATCAATTACATTTTCACCAGCATCATCTGATTTTAAATTTTCATCATAATCTGTTATATTAATTTCCACTTCATCCACTTTATCAGTTTGATTGTTTAAAGATACTGGTGTCGATATCATCTCCTGTTGACATATCACATATTGTACCAAGTATAACAATACAATCATTCTGATCATTATTATGAATATAGATTAATGAAAGTGTATAATTCTATCAAAGAGATATCAATGCTTATTTATATTAGTTTGTTAATCATGTTCATGATTTGATATAGAGTTCATGTGATTAAAATCGAGTCAACAATTTATCATGCTATTTACCATTCTCTTTTGATATATTTCATTTAGTAAATAAGTGATCAGTAAAAATAAGATTTTCATAGTTGAAATCATGAGTCAATTGAAACTAGACCACCATGGAAAACGTGGAAGCACTGGATGGCCGTTTCATCTTATTGTGGGAATATTCCTTAGCAGTGCGCATCCATGATCCCCCCTTGTGAGATTCAAACCCAGGACCTATTAGTTTCGCGCGCGAGCGCTTAATCTCTAGACCATTGAGCTGACCGACAACCAACGGTGTTAATGTCGAACTTCAAACAATTCACGAAATTGAGCAATCGTCCACCATTGTCTTCAGTGATTTGATATCTCTGAAACACACTTGGTTGAACTCCACTGGTCACTGCTTCCCACTAGAACTCAAGGATACATCCCTTGAAGCCAGTCACTAGTGAGCATATGATCATGGATCAGAAGGAGTTTTGTGGAGATTTCAGTATTTTCATGGTTGGAATCATGAATGTAATATGACAGTATTCAGGTCAACAGTTTCAGCTTGTCCATCATGTTTAATCCAAGACTGTTTTAATGTTCTAAATGATTAATGATTTAATACTAATCATCTTAATCACATAAAATCTATGGTGAATCAATAATGTCACTAACATATTAGTGTATATAAACCTCGATATTTCTGGAATAGAGCTATACTGTTTTGTATTAAAGTATTCATCATGATCATCAAGACGACAATATTATTGTTATTAGTACAGTATTCAATGTGTGGAGGACATGAAAGTACAACAAATGTATCTTCACAGAACGCAACAAATAAAGTAAATATTACAACTGACAATGTATATCAAACAATACGCCAAGCAAATGAATCAACAGACGTGGTATCTCAACCAACAACAGATAGGGTTTACCAACCAACATACGAAGTAAATGAAACAATGGGCGAGATATATGAAACAACAACAGACGTAATATATGAAACAACAGACGAAGTAAATGAAATGACAAGTAATATGAATGAAACAACAGAAATCATAAATGGTGAACAGAATACAACACTGACTGAGATAAATGAGACAACTTCTTCCCAACCTGCTTTGCAAACTACTTTAGCATCACTAAACAGTGTATTTCCATCTTCAACAGTGTCTAATCTAACTACTCGTTCTTCGTAATATTCTGTCTTCAATATCATGGACGAACTTTGAATGATTTAAATGAACTAAACGCTTATAAATAATAATTCATACTTTCTACAATTACTAGAATTTCTTTTATGTTTGAAATTATGTAAGTGAATTTATAAGTAGTATAATACTTTGTTTATAAAATATTTTTTTCATTATTAATTAATGGGTTATTCTTAAAGTTAATATTATGAATTAATTTTATACTCTTATTATTAAACTAATACTTCGTAGATCAGAAGGGGTTTTGTGGAGATTTCAATATTTTTCATAGTTGAAATCGTAAGTGCTCCGTCGCGAGACTGGTAGGTCCTGGGTTCAAATCTTGAGAGAGCGGGATAGTGGATGCGCACTGGTGAAGAGTCCCATAATAGTACGAAACAGCCGTCCAGTACTTCCAAGTTTTACATGGTGATTTAACTTCAATTGACTCATGATTTCAACTATATATAATTACTTAAATCTCCACAAAATCCCCTTCTAATTACAATTAGAATAACGAAGTTTTAAAATGAATATTTTTATTTTTTTTTGTTTTTATTCACCAAAAATTTTTTTTAACAATCAGATCAGATTGGTTCTTATTCATTTTTTGTTTTTTTCTCTCGTTTCCAACAGGTTTCACTCCATAAACATATTGAACCAGATATTCAATTCTTTGTTTTACACAATGTTTTCTGAATTTAAATTGGGTCTGTTTTGTTGTTTGTTGTTGTGTTTATTCCCCTCTTAGATGTTTGACACATCTTTTTCTTGTATTACCTTGACCACTAATATTTACTGACCAATTTTTGTTCATATAGTGATTAATGTTTATCTGTTATGTAATATGTCCAAGTAATTACATAAATATACAATGTACAGTCCATTTATGATTGTAATTACATGTATTTAACATTGGTAACAGTGGTTTCTGATTTTTTTTTTAATGTATCCAATGAACATTTATTTGATTGTAATAGTATCCATTTTCAATATTCTTCGTCACTATCTTCGATTATTGTTAACCCGTTGTTGTTTTAAAGTGATTATTAGCTGTTAAATAGATCATTGTATGTTATAAATGACTTTTGTATAACTAAAATAACTCATAATGTCATTGAATAAGAAAAAGAGAATTCAGCGAAGAAAATTTTCTTTTCGACGAAATCATTTACATAAGCTGTACATTCGTATATATAGTGATATGGAAAATATATGTCTATAGGAGGCTAGAAAAGATTGCATTATAAATTAATTCGACAATAAATAACAAATGAGGTGACGTACTAATCAAGGGGTAAGGAAGAAAATAATTTATGGTTCAGATATGAAGAAAAGCGACAAACACAGAGGTCATAATAATAATAATAATCGAGTAATAATCAAGAAAACTTGTATAAGGTAATAATAATAACTGATTAGAACTGAACAAACTCCAATCTGGACCTTATGAAAAAATCAAGATTAACAAATGTAGAGCAACTTTGAATAATTTGAAAGCCGAAACAGCCAAAATGCTACAGACTTTAAAACCGAAACTAGGACCATCTCTATGGTTTTCTCTATATCCGAAAAGCAACAAACCTTGCAGATTTTATGGATTACCAAAAATACATAAAACAAATGTCCCAATAAGACCTGTTGTTGATTATACCAATTCACCAACCTACAATCTTTCTAGATACCTAGTTAAGATTCTTGAACCATATGAAAGCACAATCAAACACGGAATAAAAAATTCTAATGTTATCTCTAATATTCACATAGAAGAAGATGAAATAATGGCAAGTTTTGATGTTTGCTCATTATTCACTAATGTCCCAATTAAGGAAACATTAGATATTATACATAATCTATTAGATTCCGACATTGATCTTAAATACCGCTGTCCTCTAGTTACCACGGATATTATTAAAGCGTTAGATCTATGTTTACATTCAACTATATTCAGTTTTCGAGGGGATTTATACAGACAAACAGAAGGTGTAGCTATGGGATCACCAGTTTCCCCAGTTGTTGCTAACCTCTTTATGCATTCATTGGAAACTAGTACCATCTCATTATGTTCTCAGGCACCAAAAGTATGTTTAAGATATGTAGATGACACCTTTGTCATTATAAAACGGAACCATTTGGATGAACTGTTTAAACTTATCGACAACTTTGATAGAAAAATAAAGTTCACCAAAGAGTTGGAATCTCGTGAAAACAAATTACCTTTCCTAGACTGTTTAGTGTAAAGGAAAGTTAATAATAGCTTAAAAATTAGTATATTTCGAAAGCCGACAAATTCAAAAAATTTCTAGATTTTAAATCGGAACATCCACACTCAACCAAAGTGACAGTGGTCAAAAATATGATTAGAAGAGCTCAAAAACTTGTCACTGAACCAAATGATATGAAAACGGAAATAAATTTAATTACATCTACCTTAATTAAGAACAATTATCCAAAAAATTTTATTAAAAGAATAATTAAGAATGAAAGAAAAGACGACATTGTTAATACAAAAAGATTACAGAAAAAGGAATGGGTTAACACAGTAGTGATCCCATATCGGAAAGGAATTTCGGAAGATATTCAAAGAATCTTAAATAATCAAAATATAAGAGTATTTTTTCGAACAAACAATACTCTAATATCAAAATTAGTAAGAATTAAAGATCCAATACATAAAGAAGAACAACAAAATTGTGTCTATGAAATGAAATGTAGTGACTGTAATGCAACGTATGTAGGTGAAACATCAAGACAACTGAATGTGAGGGTAATGGAACACAAACAATGCTTGAAACACATTCCTAAATCCTCAGATGATGTAAGAAAACTGGAGAACAAATCAGCGATAGCATTACATTCGATAGAATCAGGTCATACAATTGATTTCGATGGCACAATAATCCTTCAAAAAGCTTTTAACTCTTACAAGGAGAGACAAACAGCTGATGCCCTATACATTTGGGCTAATCCAAACAATATTAATAGGAGGGATGGAATACAATTAGCAGTGCCATGGCAGCTAATCATTAATAAGTAACAACCTGAACTCCTTAATATTTTTATCTAATTCGTATTATCTAAAATGACAACAATTACACTCAATGATTCTAATCTATTGTCTTATCGGAATTTGTTAAACAATTCATTGGAACATTAACAATGACACATACATACAGTCAAAATTACGCTCTTCAAATTTCACCCTTTATATTTTTTTCATAGTTGAAAGCGTGAGTCAATTGAAGCTAGACCACCATGGAAAACCTGGAAACACTGACCGCCCCTTTCGTCCTATTATGGGACTCCTCAGCAGTGCGCATCCACGAACCCGCTCTCGCCAGATTCGAACCCAGGACCTATCAGTCTCGAGCCGATTGACTCACGCTTTCAACTATGAAAAATACTAAATCTCCACAAAATCCCTTCTGATAATTTTATATTTTTATTTTATTTTGTTTAATTATCTTCATGTTATACATACTGAGACAGATATGATTCATATCATATATATTACAAATTGTATGTTTCCTTATAAGAGACAATATTTAATGTGAATGTAATTTTCTCCACTCATCTCTTACGTTTTTCTATACAATTATGTTATATGAACACTCATCACTTCACATCACCCACCTCTTACACACTAATACATATACCTAGTTTAGACTTTGTTAACGTTGATTGGATGACCTATTCAGTGTACTCGGAGTGAACTCGGAGAACCATGTACTATTTATATTCGATAATTTTGATGTTTGATTATAATTCCTTGAAAAAGCTTGGACCAGATTGCCAGGCGAAACGTTGGATTTAATTTAAAAAATTCATTCGCTGATATTTTACAAATATATTATTCCTATTTAATGATTAGAGTTTAAATGTAAAATAGAAATTTAAAAAACAAAAAACCGATAATAATCAGATAAAAATACAGAAAAAACAAAAGAAAACCAAAAAAACGTACCCAATGAGGGAATTAGGGCCAAGGAAGGGTAAGAGGTTGGACAAATCGTTTCTGCACGCAAAGTTCAGGCTTGAATTCATGGATTGCCAATGCCTCAGCAGTGCATAAAATATTGATTCGACCTCCCTTTGATCCGGTTCCTTTAACTCTACAGATTATTTTAAAAGACGTGTCTTTTGGAGCAATGTGTCCACAATTGATCAAATGCTCTTGTATCGAACTGGTTATCTTTTTACATTCACCTTTTAAGAGCCAAGCTGGATAGTGTTCAGAGATACGTTTGAAAAGCGATCGCTTTGCGCGAACTATATAACGTGCTCCATATTGTCGAATCAATTTATAATGCAATCTTTTCTAGCGTGCTATAGACATATATTTTCCATATTACAATATATACGAATGTACAGCTTAAGTAAATGATTTCGTCGAAAAGAAGACACAAAATGTGTATAAGATGGTGGTTGGAGGTCGTTGACAGGAAAACCCTGAAACTAGGTTTCGTGCCATTTGGCTTTCGTCAGCAAGGTGTACCTGTAATCTTGAGGGAACTGATGCTACCTGACGTATTCGACCCACTTGTCACCCAGCTTTACAGTCAGAGACGTTACCACTGGGCTATCCGGGCCGCAACTAACCTCTGTAGGGTTGAAATGTATTTACAAGTGACTGATCACTGGGTGGTGATCAGTGTCATGTGTATTAGGTCCTTCTTAGTGCAGATCGAATCATATCGACCAAGTTGCAATGTGGTCACTAGTCTAAGTGACTAGACATCTCCAAGTAGCACGAAACCTAAGTCCAAAGTTTCCTGTTGACTACCTCCAACCACCATCTAATCTCAACATAGTGCACGGAATGTCGAGTCACCTAGACTATTGACCGTGTCGCTACTGGGTCGATAGGATTCGATTTGCACTTAGAAGGACCTGACACACATGAAATTGGTATTTGGATGACGCATCAATTCGTTGGAAAAAATCGTACGAAAAAACTGGAGTTTATTGGGCGGTTCACCGAAGTATGCTTTCACATTAAGAATGTAAACAAGAAAAGTGATTGGATAAGACACATTTTCTAAGGTCTTTTTACC